ACTAATTAGGGTTCTTCGAATTTTTATGTATTATTGAGAACAAAAAGTGTAAACAAATTGAAATTTTTGAATAGTGAATATAATAAAGTAAAAAAAAAGGAGATTCAATTCATTGGTCATTGAATGTGTGTAGTCAATAATTCTCTTATATTAATGTAAAGTAAAATAAAAAATTTCCAATCATATTGTTCGTATCATTGATATGAAATGGCTTTTTCGAAATACGAATTTACAATATATATTCTGTTGGAAATAGGTCCCAAATTGTCAAAAAAAGATGAATACGTCATATAGTTCCCATCGACCCACAATTTGTAACGATGTTACATGTGATTTCAATTTCGTCTTTAGAAGATTCGAATACATCATACACGACATAGACATAAGCCTATATAAGTCATAATCATCTTTATCTTTCCCCTCATCTTGTGATAAACATATTAGGCGTTAAAGTCCATACAAAATCTCCAGAAAAAACAACGGTCACCTTGAACTGATCAAACTTTCTCTAACAAAAATATTGATTTTGATTTGTTCGTGGACTTTTACTATTACCACCTCTCAAGGGGTCTTTCTAGAAAGCTACACGAATATATGTATTTGACTATTTATTGTATGATACTACTATTATTTTTATCAAAATGTAGATAAAGTTCAAATAAAGCTTGGGATGGCCTCGAGGAACCCATGAATGAGCTGGCTCCGGACCACTTTTATTTCATATATGGAAAATAAAACTATATACTATAACAATTTAGACATTGACTATATACGTTGAACTACCTTTTGTGGTTTTGGATTCTCAAGTGTTGCTATTATTTGTATGATTAATGTTACAAGAGATACATAATAAAATATTTAGATTATTCTAAGCTATCAAGGAGTCCAACTTCGAGACCTCCCCTTTGAGTCGACAAACCGCCCACAAAGTATGAAAATTGGGATATGTGTTTTATTCTTTGGATTTTTATATATATAAAAAGGCCTTTGTTTTGGTAATAGGAAAAGTCGTGGACAGGGCCTTCTTGAGCTTTAAGACCATCATTAATAGTGAAATATTTTGGGTATTTTTAAATATAAAATTATTAAAATTTGAGTAAAAAGAAGAAAGATAGTATTTTTGGTTGAAATAATGAAGTGTATTGAAATATAAAATTAATAAAATTTGAGTAAAAAGAGAAGATAGTGGATATTTTTGGAGAGAAGGTGTTTATAGGAAGACATTTTGATGGATGTTTTTGGGTGTGTTTAAATATAAAATTAATAAAAGCTGAGT